TCAGCTTTTCCACAATCATAAAAAATAAATTTCAGGCAGGAGACTGTCAATTTCAGTCCTTGGATGAATGACTGTTTCTAGGACTAATAGAAGGCCAAGGGTGACATGCAAGGGTTCATTTTTTTCTTTCCAGCTGAGTACCTTCATTACTTCCTTTGCTGATTTAATTCAGTTAAAATTGATTGACTGCTCCCACAGTGCATGACCCAATTCTAGGTGACAAGAGAGAACATAGAAAAGACATCACTAAGGAACCCAGGGTAGATTTTACCTTTTAGCTCAGTCCAGTGGGAGAGTATTTTCATTGCCCTTAGCTATGAATCATTCTCTTGCATGGAGATTGTACTTTCTCATCCACAAAACAGTATGGTACAGTATGAAAAATATTGGATTTGGAGTCAGGATCTGGATTCAGATCCTGTTTCTACCATTTATTTGCTATATGATCTTAGGCAAGTCACTTAAACTCTCTGGGCCTCAGTTTCCTCAATTGTAAAATGATAGGGTTGGAGTAGGTGACTTCTAATGTCTCCTCCAACTCTCAATGAATGGTTTTATGAAAGTGTGATTTTTGTTACTCCTCAGTGGGACCCTGTGGGGCATGATTATATCCAAAGACATGGGTCTAGCCATTTCACAGTGAGGATAGCTAAAGTCCCCCATTGCCCACAGTACAAGAAGCTTATGGAGCCTGTTTGGGGCCTGCTGCCACTATAACTGATCTAATGAAACTATTATAGGAAGGAAATTTACAGTCATCACACTAAATACTCAACCCTCCTAGATCTTAAGAAGATAGTTTTTGATGCTAGAGTTTTCCATCACAGACTCTTGGCCAGTTGGTTGTTTACTGAGACCAGGGGTGGGGAACCTGTGTCCTTGAGGCCATATGTGGCCCTCTAGGTCCTCAAGTGTGGTCCTTTGACTAAATCTAAACTTCACTGAACAAATTCCCCCTTAATAAAAGGATTTGCCTGTAAAATTTGGACTTAGGGGCAGCTAGGTGGCACAGTAGATAGAGCTCTGGCCTTGGAGTCAGCAGGACCTGAGTTCAAATCCAGCCTCAGACACTTGAAACTTACTAGCTGTGTGACCCTGGGCAAGTCACTTAACCCCGATTGCCTCACCCAAAATCTAGACCTAGAAGGCAATAGGTGACCTTGAGGCCACAGATTCTCCATCCCTGAGTCTAAGACCCTTGATCTTTTTCCTGCTGATGTCACAACACTCTGCTTCAGCTTGTTCTTCAACACCTGCATCTGGTCTAGAAATGGCATGATCTTAACTCTTGACATTTCTCTTTTATCTGGAAAATCTTGTACTGAGAAACTTTCTTCATCCCGTACCACAGAAGTATCCTTTTTTCTGTACCCTTTATAATACTGCACAAAAAAATCTCATTGAGTTTTTCCTTATACTAGGTACTCTCTTCCTCCCTCACTCTTTTTTTTTGTTTGTTTGTTTGTTTTGGTCTGTGCTCACCTAGAGGTTTGTGACTTCCTACAGGCAAATTGGAGTTTGACATGTCCTCTGAGTGACCAATGCAAAAGCATTACTTTCCTTTTCCTCTCTAATTCATAAGAGAATATTCTTTGCTGAAGCTACATGACTCTTCAAAGTTTGCCATGGTAGGAGATCGAAAGGTTGGGAAGGAAGATGTTAGGGTGCTGAAGGGAGGGCCATGTTAGGGGAAAAAGTTCTTCCAACCTGAAGCACCAACAGCCCCCAAGAGGCCTACTTACCTAGAAAGAATAATTTTCCAAAGAGATTTCCAGGCTTTTGCAGCAGCTGATCTCCCTTGCTATTATAGCAACTATACCTTTCTGATCAGCCAAACCTTCTAATACCTATATCCTTTAGTAGACCATGACCCTAGGGTGACAAGACTGCTCTGTGCACCTTTGAAGAGAAATAAATCTACAGTTTTATACATATATATAATTTATATAAATATATTTATTCATTTATAATTTATTTATATAAATATATATTTATATAGATATAAGTATATTTTAAATAAATATATTTATATAAATTATACATATATATCAATATATTAATTATATTATAATACAATATACTACAATATATTAATATAGTTATATTTTATATTATAATATATTAACATGTTAATATAATATATTTCTATATCTGTATAAATATATTTATGTAGATATGATAAATGTATTATAAGTAAATATATTTATATAAATTTTACATATATTTTTATATATATACGTATATATATATATATATATATGAACAGTAGATTTATTTCTATTCAAAAGTGCACAGAGCAGTCTTGTCACCCCAGGGTCATGGTCTACTAAAGGATATCTACTAAAGGATACATACATATACATATATATATATATATATATATAGACACACATATCAGTCCGATCTAGGGTATCAGTCCTAACATGTAATACAGTATAGAAAAAGGAGCACTGGGTTTAGAAAGATCTAAGTTCAAATTTCAGCTCTGTCAAGGTCATCTATATGACCTTGAGCAAATCACCTCATTTTTCTGGGCCTCAGTTTCCTCACGTGTAATATAAAATCCTGTATGGTGTCCAAAGCCCTTGATAGCCTGGCCCCCTTCTCCTTTTCCAGTCTTCTCATACCTTACTACTCCACTGGATTTTGTGGTCCAATGATATGGGCCTTCTTGTTGTTCTTCAGAGAGGACAATCCATCTCCTGACTCTGGGCATCTTCACTGACTGCCCCCCATGCCTGGAATACTCTCCCTCTTCCTCTTCCTCACCTAGGCTCCTTGGCTTCCTTTATCTTTCCAAATAAAACCCTACCTTTTATAAGAAGCCTTTTCTTATCCTCCTCAATGCTAATATATTCTCTCTAAAATTATGGCCAACTTATATTGTGTTTGTACATGCAGTATAATTGTTTAGATGTAGTCTTCTCCATGAGACTGTGAGCTCCTTGAGAACAGGGACTGCTTTTTGCCTTGCTTTGTATCCCCAGGGCTTAGTGGTACATGGCACACAGTAGGTGCTTTATTGATGCTTGTATACTGATTCCAGCTACTATTGATGCTCCCCATACTTGCTGTTCTAGCTTCTACCTCTCAGCTTTTAAATAGGCTATTCCTAATGCCTAGATTGATTTTCCTCTTCATCTCTGCCTCTTAGAATTTCTATCTCCTTTCAGGACTCAGCTTAACTCTTTCACTGTCACCTCAACAACCTGTCTAGAATGAATATAAGCACCTTGAGGGCAAGGCCCATGTCTTTCTTTCTTTGTATTTTAGCACCCAGCATAGAACTTGGCACAGAGTAGGTTCATTCATTAACAGACAATTCTTAAATTTGATTATCTACTCTAAGCCCTTCATTGTACAAATGGAGAAGCAGAGCCCCAGAAAATTGAAGTCACAGAATAGCAGAATGTTAGTCTTTGGAGAACATCCTCAGAAGTTCTTAACCTTTTCTGTTATGTCATGGACCCCTTTAGTGTACCAGTAAAGTCTATGGGATCGCTTCTCAGAATAATGTCTCTCAATGCATAAAATAAGATATGTGGGTTAATCCCTTCATGATGAGTAGATGAAGAGTTTTGAGTGACTTTACTATTTGCTCCCTATTTAGTAATTTACAGACCAGAGATTTGAAACCATTCCAAGACCACCATTGTTTCCTCTACATTTTACCAAGGCCACACAGTAAATGGAAGAGCTGGTGACTCCCATCCTGAAAGAGAGACTCTCAGAACAGTGACCACAGCCATTGACAAGAGCAATTTTCACGTAAACTCAGTATAACAAGCAGAGGCGTGTGCAGCACATTCCATTAGGATGTGTACCTAAGGAATTTTTTTAAAGCAAACAGTTATTGAAAACTCAGTCATAAAGGACATCAAATGAATTAGAGAAACTAAAACAACAATTTTTTTTCAAATAACAAGCTTTAAAATACTAACTTAAAAATATAAGGGTGGGTTTTTTTTTTGGAGACATTAGGGTGAGCCTGGGAATACCTAGCATACCCTGTTTACAGGTATAAGGTATCAGCCTCTTCAGTCTGTCTCACAAGCACCCACAAGTACTATTTTGATATAAGGACAATCCTTGGTAGGGATAGTCCTTATTCTAATCTGATCTGGACTTTCCATCTCAGTCATATATAAGGAAAGTGTCATCAGGACTCAGTTATTAGCTCTAAGGTTCTCAAGACATCCTGTTTAATCTATCACTTACATTAAAGAGAATAATACTGATCAAATCATGACTCCTAAGACTTACATGGTACTTCAGAAAACTTCTAGTCTATTCCCCTACCTCTAGATAGGACTGTACCTGTGACCCTAGTCAAGTGACTACATCTTACTATTAAAGTCTCTTACCCCTCCTTGTTTCATTCAATGTCTCAGAAGCATCTATAGGGAAAATAAAAAAGTTTGAGGGTTTATTTTTTAATGTCCAGTTCTGTCCCTAACCCCTTCTGATCTAGTCAATGCATTTTCATAGTGGTGGATTAACTTTAATGTCTATAGAATGGTGCAAAGGGCCCAGGTCATGGCTTTAATTCCCTATGCTGGATCAATTAGCTTTGCTGTATTCCACAATAATTACTATTTTAAGCAGTTGATAAAGCCCTGATACATGAAGAAATCTTTCCCCTATACCTCAAGTGTCAGAGTTTCATCCCTTTAGCTTAGGACTGATCCCTGTTGAAATGCAAATCCTCTCAGAAGGGTAAAACTTTAAGCTGTTATCAGTCAATTATACCTTAATGTGATTTAGTATGAATGAAAGATCTGAGACCAGCTTTTAATAAAGCAGTTGAAGAATGGGGATAATAGTGGAGTATGGAAAGAGCCCTAGGTCTTTCTAGGATACATTTGGGGAGAGTAAGACATAGAAACCACCACATCATGAAAGAGATAAAAGGGAAAAACCAAGAGTTCTGGGGCACAAAAAATACAATTTACCACTTCCCTTAGAGCATCCTTTTTTTTCTCTCTCTCTCTCTTTTCTAGGCTGTTTAGTGCAATTTTAGAACAAGCAACCAAAGCAGATGGGGCAAATGCATTAGGAGGAAAAGGGGCTGGATTTGATGTAAAGGCCCTGAGGGCTTTCCGAGTGCTGCGCCCCTTACGCCTAGTGTCTGGAGTGCCAAGTAAGTAATGTTTACATACATACATACATACATACACATATACATATATATATATATATATAAACCAATATTATGAATACAGTACTTCGGCTGCATCTGGGACAGGGCCAGGAACAATTAAGGGGGAAATGGAATGAATTCATAACAAATAGAGGCAGCTCTGTCTTCTGCTAGGTTGGACAGGGGGATCAACATAGTCTCTAGCTGAAAAATACTTCCAGTGGGAATTCAAAATCAGATGAATGGAGTGAAAAGGAGAGAGAAAGAATCAACAAGACAAGAAAGGTATCTCAAGGACAGTTTTTGACTCAGGAGAAAGTTAACATTAAAATCTGAAAGATGAAAAATCCAGTAGCAAGCTAGAAAATGAGGACAAGCCAGGTTCAGAGATCTGGTTTCAAAATAAAGAGATGCCTTTTTTTAATCTTTTTTATGGGTTGACAGCATTGGCTAATGATCCGATGATGGGCTAATGCACTGATGATCCAATGCTTCTTTTCTGTGTTTGCCAGCTCCCATCCTGCTTTTGTGTAGAGCAGTTGACAAAGAAAAGACTACAGAAACTTGACCACCCACTAGCCTCTACCTGCTATTTCTTCCCAATCCCCCTTAATTCTAATGCCTTTTCTCTGTTGATTAATTCTCATTTATCCTGTATATCACTTCTTTGTACATAGTTGTTTGTATGTTGTCTCTCCCATTAGATTGTAAACTCCTCGAGTCTGTCTTTTGCCTTTCTTTGTATCCTCTGCATGTAGTACAGTGCCTGACGCATAGTAGGTGCTTAATAAATGTTTACTGACTGACTTTATTGACCAGCCCTGGGTCATTTCTGTGCAGGAGACAATTTTTATTTAAGCAGATTTTTCAAAAATGATTTCTCTTGCTTAAAACAAACTTAAAAATTGAAAACTTGGAATCCTAGAGTCTGAGTATAAATGCACACTCACCCACTTAACTCGTATGACTTTGGACGAGTCATTCACCCTCTGTGGGGTATCCTCATCCATAAAAGAAGGGGATTGAACTAAATGGTCACTATGACTGCTCCAGCACTTTCCAGTTTAATGGCAACAATCTCATGATCAAATATAAATATACTAAAATAAAACCTGAAATCAACTATTAAAAAAACCTGAATAAATGAATAAAGACTTTATTAAGTATGCAAAGCAATGTGCTAAGTGCAGGGGGGAGGGTACAACTAGAAAAACAACACAGTCTCTCCTCTCAAGATGCTCACATTCTAATGGGGGGAACAACGTATATGAAAAGTTTCAGCTGCAAATCACATGGAAAAGTCCCACGGACCTTGGGGTGTAGGGGCAAAGCAGATGGCAATGTCTTCTATTTCTTGCATCATCATAGTTCACCCAACTATCCCCCTCCCCTACCCAGAAAGTCATCCCATATAATAAATGGTATTTTTTAGAGAAGAGAAAAAATCAGGACAATTGATCAATATATTGAAAAAGTCCAAAAATACATGCAATGTGTAACACCTATGAATCTCTATGCATCTTTTTAAAATATCATTTCTACTGATAAAATCATATCCGATTTTGGTGTGAAGCCATTTGAAAGTACTAGTGACTGGTGACAAAAATTTTCCTTTCTGGGTCTTCAGTAGCTGTGCAGGAGGAATTACCAGACTGCATCTCCACAGGGATTACTTCCCAGGACGGTGGCTAAGGGCACTGGCATCGAAGCAATGCTATTCCCAAGGCTTGGGTTCAGGGTCCTGGAGAATCTCTAGCAGAGTCTGAGAAGAGATGGTGGTCAATGTAGTGGTAGTGGTTTGACATGGCTACCACAGACTGCCTTTTGTCTCTTCCTCAGGGTCCCTGGCTGCTTCAGCTAGGCTAATTTGCCTACCCTGTATATAGAGTTGGTTGGTAGTTGGTTGGTAGTTGGTGGGAATGGTTGGCCCCTTTTCCATAGTAGTTGCTTTTCCATATGATGGCTGTGAAGGCTAGTGCAGAAGCAGGACTGATGACCTGGAGGGGTGGGGTATAGAGGTTGCCACTCCCAGGGCTCCTCAGCCTATCTACCTGT